TTTATACTTTATCATGCCATGTTTTGACATTTTGAAACATTTTTCGTATCATCACAAATAAGTGATTCAAGCCATTCGAGGTGTTCGATTTAAGTGGATCCTGCATATATACATATACATATATATAATATATATGTATAATATATTATGTATATATATATAATTAATAAATGAAGGACTCTGATTGGGTCTCAACACTGTGCGTTCAGATTCCCAAATTAATGTCATCAAGTTATCATTTTGTCCTTGTTTAACATTTGGTGAGTGACAAGGATAGCTGAGCAAAATGATATCTGAGCAGTACTCGGGTAGGAATCCGAACGCACCTCAATCTATACATGATGCTAGAAATAAAGTAACGATAAAAGTAACTAGTCAAATAGTTACCGTTACTAAAAAAAATGTAACAGCGTTAACCATTAACGTAAAGAACGGTAATGAGTTATTTAGAAGAAAATGTATAACGTCGTTACCCATTCGTTATTGAAAAAAGTAATTGTAACGGTTACAAGTAACGTGTTACATACCAACTCTATACATAAATAAATAGAAATTATAAAATAAGTTCTTTCTTCTTATCTTTCTAAGAAATAAATCGATGTTATAAAGAAATATGATAGTAATTCTTTTAATTACAGTATTTAATTCGTTTAATTGAACAAAAATGAATTCGATCTTACTATTATACAGAAGCGTCATTTAATTCTTTTATTAATTTTCTTTATATAGTATTACGCATATATGCGCATGCTACTGTAATAACTTATTATACTTGCAAAATAATTTCTTCAATGTAGCAATATGCCCAGCTATAGGCACCGTTTATTATCGCCTTTATTAGAATTTTTTAAGGGACGTGTAGGAATGTCGGGTCATGAATGGTGACCCTTCTTCTTGCTTTCCTTTACTCTCCTTCCATCCTCCATTGAATATAATTCCACATTACCTAATTATACAGTACACAAGGACGGTGACCCTAATTCGTAAGGCGCATCAGTCTACGACCCATGGATTTTTCTACAATAAAGGAAACATTGTATTATAGCTGTTAAGGAGTGGCCACAAAAGGAAACGCACGCGAACGTTGGTAGGAATAATAATAATGATTCAAGCAAGGTCAATCGTACTGACAATGAGCTTAACTATATGAAAATTATATTTCAGATTTAATAATTTTGAAATCTACACAATCTCGCTGTATATTTTGTTAATGTTTTAAATACACATGTATAAAATCACACTTTAATTAGTTATAAATTCATATCGGGTCCCATATAACTCTTAATTAATATTTTGAGGCGTGAAAGAAAATGAAATTTTGAACTAAAAGTTCCTTTCCAATTTTGGATTAAACTACTATTAATTTACCATTTATTATCCATTATTTATTACTCATTTACTTACTTATTATTATAATATGAAAAATTAAAACAAAATTTTAATCGGGAGAATGTACAGTAAGTGCAAGGAACACCATGATAAGCTACGCTTCTGCCTACTTTTGCTGCGCGCAATCTAACGATCAACTTCATTTATTAATAACTCTGTAAATAATGGTCCGAACCAAAATTGCGAAAAGAACTTTTAGAGAGTTCAAAATTTCATTTTCTTTTATTCCTCTAACATTAAAAATAATATTAATATTTCATTCCTCTAATAATATTAAGAATCATAGGACACCCAGTATATTTGGGAATACAAAATTTTATCTTAGTGTTTGTATATTTGTTTTTGTAACACTGATGCTTTAATGATTTTAATCAATCTGGACGAATACGATTTTTAATAAAGCTTTATCTATTTCTTGAACTCTGTTCTGCTTGAATTGATGCTCTACTTTAAGGGAATTCTAAATATATTTTCTTACATTATACTTTTCTATATTTTCATTTGCAATTATAATTAATGAGATTTAAATCAATATTACTGGAAGATTTATTTTCAGATCTAATAAAAGTAGAAACTGTATCTCTCATTTGTGTTACAATGAAATAATTCCAAAATTGTTATTTTTTTAGTTGCTTGCAAAAAAATAGAAAGCATAAAGAAAAAAGGAAAGCATATTTATTTAAAAGAGCATATTTTTATTTCTCTATAATTAATTATTACATCAAAATTGAATTTCGAAAATTTATATTAAAAAATTTTAATGATTCAAAACATTAAAACATCATTTTCTGAAAAACTTTATTTTTTGAATTGTGTCACTATATTGTAGCAAATGAGTGATATCTTTACATCAAACAATTAATTATTTAAATAATAAACTAACGGACTCTCGCACTTTAAAAAACAAGAATTGAGAAAAGGCTAATGAGAGACGAGCGCGGTACTTAGTGCGCGTATAAAGTTAATGTACGCGTAAAGTTAGTGGACGAATCCATATTATGGATACAGTTGAGGTATTATTATCCAGAAAAATTATTATTTTTTATATTAATTTTTATATACTACACTATAATTATAACTGTTTTAATAGAAAGATGAAATGCCAGATCCATTTACATTGCCTCCTTTATTTATATATTTTTCCGTTACACAATTTCTGTTATGAGCACAGTAAAAAAAGTACGAGAATGGGATAAATATTGATAACAACGGACCCAGCCCCAATGACCTTAACCTTCACATATGTTGTCAAGGTTTATGACCCTGAGTGACTATCAAGAGGTTTTAGTCGTCGCTGATCGTTATTCGTTAAAAAGTTATTAACAAAAAAAGTTATAAAAATTAATGGACACATGTCGTTAAGATCATGACTTTGAATGATCTTAATAATATAAACATTAATTAAAATTAATAAAATAAAACTTTAACTTTTTATTATAAGATGAAGAGTTGGGGAGAAGATTGAGGGAAGAGTAGGTAGTATATGTAAATATGTATCAAATTTTGTCTTACTAAATAGATAAGTCTATAACATTCTAAAAATAATAGATACCGAAAAGATTAAATAGACCCCTACGCAAGGTAAAAATATGTATTAAATCTTTGCCTTACTAAATAGATGAGTCTACAATATACTAAAAATAATAGACATCGAAAAGATTAGACAGATCCCTACGCAAGGTAGAAAGTATATTAAGTTGAATATTTATTAATAAATCTTCGCCTTACTAAACAAGTAGGAAAAGTACGTATTTTCTGTTTCTGCAATAAATATTAGCTAAATAATAGGCGGGGGGAGGGGCGGAGTACCTCCTCCCTGCACCTCCCTCCCCGCCTGCGCCCATGCTACCTACTGGGGGGGCTTTGCCCCCCCGACCCCTCCATTGGGATTAATTTTTTTGTTACTTTTTTTGTTAATAACTTTTTAATGAATAACGAGCGATGGCTAAAATCTCTTGATAGTCACTCAGGGTCATGATCTTGACAACATATGTGAAGGTCGAGGTCATTGGGGCTGGGTCCGTTGTTATCAATATTTACCCTAATATTATCATTCTACAATTTCCGAAAAAAATATATTCAGATTTATAAAACCTGAAGAAAGTATATTTTTTCAGAAATCTTTATAAATTCACAATATAACAAATTCTTAAAATAAATTTTGTAAAAACTTTGTTCATCTAAGTAATTTACAAAATAATATTTATAAAATAGATATTAATGAATTAAAATAATAAATACAAATTGTATGATAAAGGTTTCAATTATTTGAATCATTTTGTAAAGAAATTAAGAATTTCAAAAAATAATAAAGAAAGGGGAGAAGGGTCGATATATTATTCGGTGGATTTGTGCTTTTGACCTTTTCTCGAGGTTATATGATGTCTATCAACGTATATCCCATGGTGGAAAGAAACAAGGTGAAGTGTGAACCAATGCGCATAATGACGTCATCGAGAGCGTGCTTTAAAATTTAGGCCAATCAGTTGTTCCCCATTTATAGAGGCGCGTATTTTAAATACACGCTGGCAATGTCGGCCATACTGAATTTTGCATCTTGGGGAAAAGCTGATTGGTTCATTGCCTCCCCACTATTTTTGAACGACTGCGCATCCACCGGAATGGTTCACCTTGTTTCTTTCCACCATGATATATCCTAAAGAAATATGTAATAAAAAATAATTTAAGGTTAAGTCTCAATAGACAGGGAGAAGCATGAGAGCGGCTATAGACCTTCACAGTTCACACATAAAATCCCATAAGATCGTAAGACGTAAACGTAAGAAAATCGATCAATCTCAATTGAGTATTAGGTTGTCCGTAACCCCTTTACTCAATTGCAATTGGTCGATTTTTTTACGCTTACGTCTTACGACCTTATGGGATTTTATGTGTGAAGACCTTATCCCGGCGTTTTTCGCAACACCGGTAAAAGTTTTGACCTTCCCGTACACTAGCGCCAATTGCTTCTACTTTTGAGATGAAACTACGTACACAGCCATTGTCATTGGCTGTGTACAGTCAACAGCAATGAATCGCTGCATCACATAGTTGGTGAACTTACCGACGTGTCTGACTTGTTAGGCACGCGTATTCTTTGAGAACGTATATAGACATTGGAGGGGTAATGTTGGCTCGAAAACTGTGTCCAAGATGTGTGTGAGAGAGAAAAGTAGACGAGTAATGTTCGTCCTCTCTGCGCATGCGTCGATCATTCAACAGACAGAGAAGACGAAGTATCACGTGTATCGCTCGTATACCTTTCTCTCTCGCACTTCTTGTCACTCTTGGACTCGCTTGCGGCCTGCAGAGAACAAAAGGCATTCCACCTCCAGGTATCTATATACTCAAAGGGTGAACAGACTGTGTTCTGAAAACGATTATAAAAAAAAGTGTTGCAACCTTTTAGCCAATGACTATACATTTCGGAACATACCTCTAGTCACATCTGACAGATGTCGCTTCTGTATTCATCGCGCAATGACGCCTCCCTTCGCCGGCGACACGAGGCGTCGGCACTGTCGGCAGTGACCGGCTGGTGTCCGTGGTTGGGCCGTGGCAAAGTCGGAAACGCGGTAGGCGCACGAGGACGAGACGAAGATTAGGAGAACAAGCGGGAGCATAACTCATAAGGCGTGCAGGGTGCCGTACGTCGGACGTTGATGGTCGCGCCACGCCGCGTCGTGTCACACCACTCCCCCTCCCATCCCTAACGCTCTCGCCATTGCTCGCTGCGTTTCTCGCTCTCTCTCATTCTGCCGCGGTTGACAGCGGTCCATCCGATCGACCGATCACGTTCTCGCACGCGACCGGAAGGAGGAAGCCCACCCTTGCTTACGCTCTTATTTCCCCAAGGCCCACTCTTTTTTCCATGTCAACGACACGCGCGTTCCTGCCAAGGCCAGCAGCGAGTAGTTACGCTTCCCACGTCGTTGCCGTCGTCGTTCTCGAGAAATCATTGTCGTGCACGTCGCGTTTGCGCCACTGGGGAATCTCGACAAGGGCCGCCGACGGCATCGAGCTGATCGAGCGTCGGGAGTCGCGAAGGAGGAGAAGGAGGAGGACGACGTCGTGCGGTCGGATCGGCGGCGTCGCTCCTGCCAGCCTGAGATGAGCGACCATGGCTGCATACATTTGAATAATTTTAAAGCAGCTAAAGGTATCCAGCCGTACAAAGTGATACACTCATTTTTCGTGACCAGTACATCGACTGAGGCACGCGTCAGGAAGGTACGCCTGTCTTTTTCTCGCGTGCTATTCGTGGTCAAGGTTCTTTGTCACGCACTTTTCGGGAAATCTTCCACCTTGCTCCTCTTCGCGTCTCACTTGCTCACTTCCGTTATGTATTCCCCTGTCTCTTTCTGCCTCTTTATTGGTACATTTAACCTCCCCTTTTCCTTCGATAGTATTTAACGCATGAAGTCTGAATGTTAAGAATAGTGTACAAGCATTGTTTTTCGGCGAGAACTGATTCGGCGGGACATTTAAAAATGTCTACGATGTCAATGGGATGCAATGAAATTAGAAACTAACTGTAAAGAAATCACAAAATGCTATGATTATTTTTACACATTGTCAATATTTGGATGATTAGTTTATGATACAGTATTAATTTTGATATTTATAATTGTATAAACGTTTTGTGTGTGTATGCGTATGTATGTGTATTCATCCATAATGTAGAATATATTATTTTATTCAAATTACTCCACTTCTATTATTACTATCCGCGGGAATGAAAATCGTGCGATACAAATTGCATCGTGAAATATATTTATGAAATTGTATAGTAATATATATGTATATATACATATATATATATATGTATATATATAATAATTTATAAACATTTAATTATAGACTAATTATTTTAGATATTTCTTTTCTATTGGATTCTATCGGAACAGTCGATAATGTCTATACTCTTCAGTTATCTCCAGATTCAACCTCCCACCCTTCTATCTTTTCCGTCCTTTTTCCGATCTCGTTTGTGAAAAAAACTGTTGAAAACAGACTGTTTTATGTAGTCTTTAAAAACAAACTTGTGAAAATTAAAATATCTAATTTATTGATAAGGAAAGATTCCAAGTTAGAAATTCAAATAATTACAGAACTTTAGCAATACATAGAAAGTGTGATAGTAATACATTTTTTGCTTCCAGAATTCATTGTAAAGAGGTAAAATCAACCTCTAAAAATTGGCCGACTTTGTTTAACATTTTTTTCCAATTCTTTAAACAATTGATAAGTTTTACAACAAACAGTTGATATTCTCTAATCGTTAACTTTTCATTAAAGCAAAGAAGTTTTCATTATAAAATTTTGTTTTGCTTCCTTTTGTTAAAAGTTGAATTCGGGTAACAAAAAAGTGATCTTTTCTTGTAAGCATCTAAATAAATATAAATAATTTGGAAAATTAAATTTACACATTTATCGGACAATTATAACTATATATTTGAAAATCAGTAAGTATACAATGAAATACACGATGTTTCAGACCTCTAACTTTTTTTTTCTTAAAAATAAATAGTGGTCTGAAATTAGAAAACAATTGTAATTATCAAAGCCCAAAAAATTATCTAACGGCGATATTTCGATTTTCTGGAAATTAGAGAAAGAATGTGAGAGAAAAAAGGTGATATAAGTCATCTGAAACATACTGTATATACCACGTACGAGATATATTTTTATAAACACCAGTTTATACATATAAATTCTGCTATTTGAATAGAACAGACAGAATGATTTCTGATACTTTTTTTATACATTGAATCTGAATCTTTTTTTTTAAATTGCAAAATAGCTTTAAAGTGTGCAGAATTAAAAAAAAATTGTTTTACGATTGCAATAAGGTTATAAAGTTCCATTTCTTCTGTAGTTATATAACTAAAATTATTTGTTTAAATCACTCTCTAAAACTGTTAAAATTAAAGCTAGAAAAGATAATATAATTTATAAGTTTCTAATTATAAGTCGCTTTAAATACTAAATGTGACTGAAATTGACATTAATATTTTGATGCATTCTTCTCCAAAAAGATGTATATCATTTAAATAGATGAATTTTTAAGAAAAAATCAAATTCAACATGCAAAAAAGTAAGAGTAGCCTTTCTATTTATTTAGATATAACAGATTCCACATAAATCGATTTTATGTTTTTATAAAGGTATATTTGTCATTATTTATCTAATAATTTTTAGATGTATAATAGGATTTTGTAATCCAATTATCATGTGAATTTTTTTACATTTTTCAGAAATTTGTATTTATTTTGATACTAAATACAATAAATTGTAATGTCTATTATCTCATTTAAAAAGTGCAAAAAATGATCTATTTTCGATGATACCTCCTTTTATTCGTATGGAGATATCCCCAATAATTCTTTATCAATGAATATGATTATTTAACATACACATCGTATTTTACAATAATGTAATTTTATTTTTTTAGATTAAATATGTTTTATTTACTAAATAATCTTAATAAATTATTATATATTTTAACAAATAATCGACTAACAAATAATCTACTGAGCATGCTCAGTAATATGCATATCAAAATTTAAATCCTATTTGAAATTTAAATTTTAAGTTTACTCGCTAATTTGTTTAGCAGATAAGATGAAACATAAATACAAAATGATTACTATGAGGTATTTTATTTTGCAGGCTGTGAGCTGTTTATGTCACACATGTAAAACTTACAAAGATCGCCTACATTCTTGTCTTCATTGTATATTTTTTGGCTGCTATGTAAAGGGTCACATACAAGAGCATGCGAAAACGAAGAAGCATTTTCTAGGTAATCAGATATTTTCCAGACTTTTTAATCCATATGTTTCATATATTTCTTTATACCGTTTTATTTATTCGTTTATTATCCATTGCAGCCATTGATCTGTGTTACGGGAATATCCTGTGCTTCCAATGCGGCGACTATGTATACGATAGAGAGTTGTTAAAAGTGGCAAAAGCGCAATGGAGCGAGTTGGCAAAATCCTTGAGCTTCGGGGAATTCTATCGGGCATGGGAACCCACGCAGACAGAGGCGGAGTTGCTGAGAACTCATCCGCGCCGAAGACGCGTCGTAGAAAATTCCACTATAGGTACCGGAAAAAACTCTTAAACTTAGTCAATTCATAGATAGAGCATCGTATAATGTTAAATGAATTTCATTTGATTGCATGCAATGCTATGTTCAGAAAAATATAATTCGACAATATTGCGTATAATGATTCAAATATTAATCTTTATATAATATAGTAAAAATTCATGCTGTTTTGGGTTTCAGGTTTAAGGGGACTGATCAATCTCGGAAATACCTGTTTCGTAAACTGCATTGTACAAGCACTGATTCACACTCCACTGTTACGAGACTATTTCCTTGCTGACCGTCATCACTGCCCGCAACCGAGTCTCTGTTTGGTCTGCGAGGTATCCCATTTGTTCCAAGAGTTCTATTCCGGCAACAAGGCTCCGCTCACGCTTCACAAACTTCTCCACCTGATTTGGACACATGTCAGACATCTGGCAGGTTACGAGCAGCAGGATGCCCACGAATTCTTCATTGCGACATTGGATGTTCTCCATAGACACTGCGAAGCTGCTCCAATACTGGTTAAAGACAACCCTCATCACTGCAAATGTATCATCGATCAGATATTTACTGGGTGCCTTCAAAGCGATGTTGTTTGTCAGGCTTGCAAGTACGTTAGTCTCTATTTTCCTCTGTTAAGGTGTACTTAATAGATAAAGAAGATGTGTATCATGCGAAATCTATAAAATATTTTTAGACATGCTAAAAAGTAATTAAATAATTGTTGATAAATGCACAGCTTACTTTATGTAGGATAAAATAAGAATTATTAAGCCAGATAATATATAATATAAAGTTTCTTCAAATACAATGCATCATACAATGCATTGTACAAATAGCCCATTTAACACAATAGGAATCTTTAAATATCAAATGTATCTCATCTGTTACTCTTTATTTTTCTTTTCAGTGGAGTATCTACCACAATAGATCCATTTTGGGACATATCTTTGGATCTAACTTCGGCAGCTAGTGCCTCTGGTTCGAATACGCCTGGGCCACCCACTTCCTTGCTAGATTGTCTGGAAAAATTTACGAGAGCCGAGCATCTAGGTTCGAGTGCAAAGATCAAATGTAGCAACTGTGAGACTTATCAGGAAAGCACAAAGCAATTGACAATGAAGCAATTGCCAATCGTGGCGATCTTTCATCTGAAGCGCTTTGAACATTTCATAATTCAAGATAAGATTTTCAAAAAGAAGATCTCTACATTTATCTCGTTCCCGGAACAGCTAGACATGACGCCATTTATGTCGCATAGACGCAATGGCAACAACAATAGCGCTATGCTGGATGGCTTGTCGAAGAACGGAGAGGATATGAGCTTCAGTGACAATAGGTAGTAATATTTGATCAAATAATTTACAATTTTTCTTTATTCTTAATTATTATGACCAACATTATATCGTTTTATACAAGGAATGTACATTGAACTAAAATATGATTACTGTTAACAGGTACTCTCTGTTTGCCGTAATAAATCATGAAGGTTCTTTAGAGACTGGACATTATACCGCTTTCATCAGGCAACAGAGAGATCAATGGTTCAAGTGCAATGATCATTTGATTACGCGAGCCAAGTTGAAGGATGTCTTGACCAGTGAAGGGTAAGATAAAACAGCGCCAAACTTAAAGTGCATAAGAATCAATTGCCTAAATTTATTAGAATTTCTTAGTGAAAAGCACAAAGAAGAAGATATAAATTATTCTCTCAGTCGCTAAAATTCTTTTCAGATATCTACTGTTTTATCACAAGCAAATTTTGGAGTATGGCTAAGATAATAAAGTCTGATAGAGAAAAGAAGATGTGAATCAAGTCATGTAATTAATTTATTTAACAAAGAATTTAAAAATCGCTGCTGAAGCTAGACGTCGGTGATGCTTTATGTTTACCGGATATAAATTATTGTCACCGTCGCTTTTTGGTTTCCGCTGGCGCCTTTTGTGTTCGATGGGGTATGTCGATTGACATTCCTGATCGACATCTACATGAACGTAACGTAAGCGTAGATATTAAGATTAGCTCAATTTTTTTAAATCGACCGATCGCAATTTTTGTATATCGCTGACTGTTGTTATACTTCTGTCCTCACACACACACACACACACCACACACACACACACACACACACACACACACACACACACACACGAGAGAGAGAGAGAGAGAGAGAGAGAGTGCGCCGGAGAATGGGCCTCGTGCATGTTTTCTTTTTAATTTCTACACTTGCCAGCAGAATGTTGATATCCGATCTCTGCAAGAGCGCACCAGAGCAAACATGTGGTATTGAGTTGCCGTTTATCAAACCTCAGATCTAATCCAATATATTACTAATTGATTCACAAGAGCGAGAAAGCGAGAGTTTGTATGATTTTATATATTTACGAATTAGACTCCCGTAATTGCAAATAATTGATCAGTATCATCAGTGCAGAACAAATGAATAAAATATCGTGCATAAAAAGACGAATAAATCCCTCTTTGGTATTACGGAAAATAAAATTTCACAACTATGGAATTCGATATTTGTATTCCATACGAAACAATCTAATATTTTCCGTGCGTGCTTTAGAACTGTATACTGATGTAGTGTGATATATAATTTATCTATAATACTTGCAATGGCCATCCCTAGGCGACTTTGTACAGATGAAATAATTCATGTTACAACAAATATGAAGATATTGTCTTATTTGAGACAAATTCTTTCACTAGACTTTGTACAATAAAAAATCGCTGCTCGACAAACTCTGGCCTGTTCCACTTTTAAATTCCTTTGTTATTTTAAATTATTGCAAGTGAGCGTGAGACACGTCGCAATCAAAGTGCCAAATTCTCGGAAATGCGACGTCCAAATTTTAATTTCCCGATCCGATTATTTATAACATAATATCCCGCTTGCGAATTAAATGGGTTTTTGACTAACGAGTACAGAATAGAAATAAAAGATCCATCACTGATACCTTATAGTAAATAAGAAACTAAAACTTATAGTAAATCTAATTTTATTTTATATTTTATCTTTCAATTATAAATTTTTTTAATCATTGCGTTCATACTGTTCTTCTTATGAAAAATGCGAATTGTGCAAATTTCTGTTCTATTGTATGTACATACGCCTTCAAATTTTATTCTGCACTCGTTGGTTTCCATGTTGTGTTCATCGAGACAAGCACACTGCGCGTCAAAGTTTATTCTACCGGCGCCTTTCATGAAAGTAGAAACTAAAGAACATGATCAATCTAATGAATCAGTTGTCGAAATGTTTATATCGATAGTTATCTACTCACACTGAACTTGGAACGGGTTTCACGAACAATATACATTCGGAAGATGATACTATGTGCAGTTGTAGCGTTTTATATAATATAAGGGTAAAAAAGTACATATACACAAAAATAAAAGGTATATTTCATCGAAATTTTGTTGGCACACATTTTTTCAAGTCACTTAGAGAATAATAGACAAATATCTCTTTCAAAAAGAAATGTTTTTCTTAATGTCATAAAACGTAAATAATAAAAGTAAGTTGTACAGTCGTCTGAAAGTTAAATGAAGCTTAAGAGATTTCTCATGAACATTACAAAAGATGTTTTCAAAAAATGATGACAAACTTGGAGTGATAAATCTAGTCCAACTGAAAAACTTTTGTTAAGTAACTGTCACATTCGGCGACATCTCCTGAAAGCGCGTCAGTTTTTTCTTGTTGAATACTGTTTAATTTCTATAAGATTAAATTAGAATAAAAAAAATTAATATTTTGAATTTTATTTTTTTTTTATTGAAATGTTCAAAATGGCATCTTTCAATCTAATTATTATCACAATCAGCAATAATGAACAGAAATCGATATATAAGAGATCTATTATCTTTGAAAGTTTATTAAAGAATGTTATTTTTAGGAACTTTTTTTTAAACTTATGCGACAAAATTTCTTCAACTGGTAACAGATTTTCATTTGTAGATTTATTGTACATATTAGTTATTAGTTCAAAGGCATTACAAAAAAAATGAAATAAGCACGATATATCTTGAGTCTGGATCTGAAAGAAAGCCCAAGAAATTTTCATTATATACACAAGATCTCTCTTGTTTTTGAAGATCAATTTAATTGTGATCTTACTATTCCAGCTTCAGTACTCACTATTTCAGCTTATGATCGCGTTACAAGTCTGACATTAATTCGAGTCGACATTAATGCGCAGTTTAAAAAGGCTGAATAATGGATGTAGAATTCATATAGAAATATTATTAAGCACCAAGATCCAGCCTCGATTATATAGAAGGTAGATTTATTAATGATATTTACTTACGGTCTAGTTCATCTTATTATTGTTTATATCTTTCCGTTTTTTAAAGTTTGTTATCCCTTTCTGGAAACATCCTGTGCACCCTTTTTCGAAAAAAAATTTAAGAAAACCCTTACACAGAAATCCAATTAGATACTGAAAATTACTTATTTTGCATATAAAAACACTGAACACAACAATGCTTTAATACTAAAATAATTAATCATCTTTCAATATTAATTTTCTGTAAGAAAATCTATTTAAATAATATAAAATAGTATAAAAAAAATCTTATATAAGTGCACAATACCTGACTACCAAGATGTTTAATGAAATAATTATAAGTATTATCAAAAAATATCAGATAATAATTTTGTAATATAGATTGATGAAAGATGATTTACATGCTTTACAGAGATTCTATCTTTAGAATGAACTTTTTTGTTTATCTACCTTGATGAAAAAGTTTTCATAATATTTTAAGAATTGTAAAAATAGATATTTATAAGAATTTTTTTTATATTTTTAATAAAGGACAAGAAGTAAAATAAAAATTGGCCGATAATTTCGGCCTAAAAAATGTAACATTAATTAGATATGTAAAATCTTATAACTTTTCAATTCAAACAAAATTTATCTATGTGAGAAGACTTAATTATTTCGACCTCTTTAAAATGAATTTTACTTGATTACTTTCACAGAAGTTTAAACAAATAAAACTGATGCCATTGTATTCGGCGACTCAAAAATTGAGATTACATCACTCACTTACAACGACATATCTAAAAAAATTATCATTTTTTTAACTGCTTGCAAAAAAAAATATGGAACATAAAGAAAAAAAGAAATAACAGATATGTACAAATAACAAATATAAGTTTAAAAAAACATACTTGTATTCTTTATCTACAATTACTTATTTATACACTAAAATTTTGTTTCAAAATTGATACAAAATTTTAACGTAAAATTTTAAACCTTATTTTCCGGAAAATTGTTTTTTTTCTTTTTTAGTTTATCGTTGCAAATAGACATCTACAATTTGCACTTTTTAGATCGAAATCTGTCTATTTTCCACCATCCTTTACAAAGAGATTTCTGTAAAAATATCTAGCTTCGACTGTTCAAATTTTACAAGTTTTCTTTAAAAATTGTAGAATGAGAAATTTTGAAATATTAAAAAAAAAAATTCGCGTAAAGAATTCTAAGACTTAAATTTTCTCAGCATCTCTGAAAAGTGTTCCAATTCATATAAAAAATTCTGGGAAATTTTGTAAAAATTTAGTATATAGAAATTCTGAAAAATTTTGTAAAGAATTCTAAGAAAAATTTTCAGAATATTTAACAAAATCCTTCATTTTACTTACAATTTCTCTGTGTATTTATAAAATATAATAGGATTAATTCATTCTAAATACTACCAGATAGCTCGGAATTTTTAATTGAAAAATATGAATTTCAAGATCACAGTTCGATTCATAGGCCGGTATTCATATAGTCGAGTCTTACATTAAATTGTCTTAAATACAGTTTAAGATGTCATAAGCCAATCACGAAGTTGTAATAGTGTCTTAAAACATTATACTTAAGACAATTGTGAAATAAGAACCGATTTATACTTAAATACCGGTAATAGACCTGATAAAATCGAACGGAATCGATCGATCAACTCCATTCAAACTTGCCTCACGCGCATGTCTACTTCGAACCTCGAATGTCTCAATTCGACACTTCCGAAATTAATTCGATCATTCAATTGATTAATTTGTCCAAATCTCTCGTCATTAAAATTCGACAAACGCGACCTGGAGATCACGGGAACGAAGTACGGATGGTAATATGCCGCGTACGCACGTCGCACAGCCGCGAGACGTACGCGCGTAGTCTTGTAACATGTTTGCACGGGGTCCGTTTGTTGCGCGCCAAAACGTCGTCGCTCTCTCTTCAACCAATGTCGTCCGACCGATGAATGGAATGGGAGGAAAGATGGACGCCTTGACGTTGGGCTCGCACAGGTAAGGTAGTCGACCGACCGACACTAATCCCCGTGTATCTCACGAGCGAAATGTCATGACTCGGCGTATCGCCCTTTCTGTTCCAGGCTGGTCCATCTTGACCTGAAGGGCGCGCCGCCGCGGACCTGCTACTTCGAAAAGGTATACGTCGCACGTGAACTACTCTGGAGGGGCGGGAGGGCGAGATAGCCTTCATCTCTGCGCCAATTCATTCAGGGGGAACTCGCACACCCCACGGCAGCCACGGCTTGCCCTCCTAATTAAAACTCGTGCGACAGACATGTAGATGTAGATGCATCGCTTTCTCGTCCTGTACGCCGTCCAGTAACCTCCGATCCGATCTCTTTCTCGGCATGTCACTCGCCGAACGTTGCGCTTGAACATCGTCGTCGCGCGCGCCTGAGGCGCTTGTTTACACTCGACGATACAGAGACAGAGAAACTATGCAAATGAACGTTGTACCGTCGGAAATCTTGTATCTTGACAGCTTATTCATTATCAGCTGGATCCAATCGAAAACGTATCTTGGCAAGGTGTCCGCTATAATTTCACCGGCAGAATGTTAGCATAAATGTACCTATGACAGAATCTGACTAACAAAATGATACAAATGATACAATGTGTTAAGGTAAACGTGCCAGTGGCTGAACGTGTATCTATAGCTGAACAAGTACACCAAGATTTATTTTCAAATGATTTTTTTCATAATATTATAATTTAATTGTAATCTTTAAATATTTTTATAATTAAATTTTGATATTATAATAAAAAAAAGTATTTGAGATTGATAAATGTTGTGTACGTGTTCAGATATAGATACACGTTCAGCCACTGGTACGTTTACCTTTTGAGCGAAACGCATCATGATTATTTTATTAGAATATTGAAGTAGAAAACTGTGACTACTTGAACAGGCTTTATTTGATGAAGAGTATACAGGCAACTTTATTCTTTTAACTCGGCATGGGCAGTTGTTTAATTTATCGATCTCAACCCTCTGTGCACTAGATGGGATGTAACCCCAGCAAAATTTAAACTTTTATAACTTTAAAAAATATTGCGCGCAAGTTTCGCAAACAAATCGATATGGCAGTTGGAATTATTATCGTACTAAATTAGTATACTTAAAGTTGATAGGTATAACATGGGATAATATAATGGGATATCCCATATATAGCTTGCTATGTTGATATTTTCCATCTGGTGCACACAGAGTTAACTTAATAACTGTTTTTTCATCTTCTCATTTTTATTTATTATACACGAATTTTAACTCTACTGATGTAATGTACATCTGATAATTTTGTCAAGTGTCTCTCACGCTGGACTTTAGAGAACTACTTCTCTAGATGAATCCTAAGGATCGTTTCATCTGGATAATAATTTATCCTTGATGATATGCCTGAGAATGAGAGATAATCAACACGTCTTGTATATCTGCACTTTAAGGAGAGCTTAAAACAGCATTTTACAGACTATCTCTGACTATTGCGTTGAATGAAAGAATTGCGTACCATTATAAACTGCATTTAATTCTACAATCCTATTACTGTTGTATTACTTCAATTTGAAAAGTACAGACAAGTTAAATTGGAAATTTGTTCACTATAAACAAGCTGATGAAAACTGAGCCCTAGCTCTCAGGTGGATTTTCTTGCTTAAAATAAGCAAGGCACTTTGTTAAAATAATTATAACTAAGTAACACATGTGTCCTGATATTAAAAACACAAAAATTAACTCAATTTTAAAATAAAAATTGGGAATTTCTGGATAAAAGAGGATGAATTTTATTGATTTTAAAATTATTTGATTTTCTGTTGCAACATGGATAACATAATAAAAGGTCTAGTATTATATTAAGGATATGATATTATTTGATTGTGAATCATCTCGAAGAAGTTTTGAGAATATTAATAATCTAAAATTCTATAATAGTAGTATGTAAAAGATTTTGCAAAATTGAGCATATTCTACCATTTTATAATATATAATTTAAATGATATATTCCATTTAGATAGTTACGAAATGACAGATTCTGATCGATTTCTGCTGATCTGATTATGTAAATTCTGTTGGCAAAGCACTGGCATACTGCTAACATTTTGCTTGCTAATTACAGTCTATAATAGTCTATCGCAACGTGCAATCGTAAAATGGTACAAAAAACAAATATTTTACTTCATGTTTGAATTTCGGTCGTATTATAGTTGCCAAGATACTTAAAATCGACAGTTGTCATGATAACTTTTGTCTTGGTTTTTTGTCTGCGCTTATTTTTATTCTTATGACCCAATAGAAAATTTACAGCTCTTTCCACTGTTGCGAACATGGGGAGCCACCGGATTATTACTGGAGTGGGAAGACACGTTTCCTTACAACCGGGAACTGTCTCCGATAGGAAGCAATGGTCCGAGCAGCTTAGCGAGTGGATACACGGTCCAGGAGGCTAGGCACATCCTGCAGATTGCGGGTGATTGCGGCCTGGCGGTTGTCCCGTTGGTACAAACTTTCGGTCATATGGAGGTACAGAAAAGATTATTTTATTTATTTTTACTTTAGATTATTTTGCACTAACTTAGCTTGTACCTATATGTAATCTTCTCATTTTCAAAGTCATAATTCAAGAGCTATCAATTATATCTTTAAATTCCAACCGTACATTGTATATGATATACATTGTATATAATTTGATAAATTTATCATGATTTTAAATTCCAGTTTCTCTTGAAACATGACGAATGGCGATCGCTACGCGAAGTCGAGCCTTTTCCAAGCTCCATTTGCCCATCGAATCCGAGAACTCTTCCAGTGGTGAAGTCATTGATACGTCAGATTGTTAGCTTTCATCCTGACATACAGTATCTGCATATAGGCGCCGACGAAGTGTGGCACCTAGGCCTTTGCTCAGTCTGCACCAAGCGAGCTGCAGCCAGCAAGTATGGCAAGTCGTCATTGTACCTGGAACACATTCTGGCGATAGCCCAATACATTCAGGAAACTTATCCATATCTAAAGATCATCATCTGGGATGACATGCTGAGATCGATAGACTTACAGATTTTAAACGGTATCTCGATAGAGCTTGTCTGCATCGTTTGATCACGCGAATCTCTTCGTGCGATTTATCTTTCTTCTTTTTTTTACAGAACATTACATCGGTAAATACGTGGAACCTATGGTGTGGAATTACAGTCCCAGAGACAATTTTGCGTTACCCGATGGTATTTTTTTCCTCTTTTACTAATATATTAAAAAATTTAGAAATATTTGCTAGATTACGATCGTTATATCAAATTATTAGGATTGTGGGATAAATACAGCGCGGTCTTTCCCAATGTCTGGGCAGCGACCGCATTCAAAGGAGCCACCGGCTCCGCACAACACATACCTGTAATCCGACATCACATAAGCAATCATGAAAAGTGGTTGGAAGAACTGGGAGTTCATGTGAGTAAGGTGCACGAATTTCGTGGTACGGCATTCACCGGCTGGTCGAGGTAAGAAAGATCAGAAGTTTTCATGAACACTGCCTCGAAATATCGATCCTCGACTGAATTGTAATTTTAGGTATGATCATTATGCCACCTTGTGTGAATTGTTACCAACGGCGATACCGTCATTAGCTCTATGTTTAAAAGTTTGGCTCCATGGTTATTCGGAGCAAACGCATACGCAGGTTGCAAAGAGCTTGGGATATATCGATCACCCGTTGCATATAACTCCGCAGCTCAGGCCAGTTCCGATCCCCAGCAATTTACTTTTTCCCGGATGGCAAGTGGCTGTCGGCATGGAGTGGTTTCTTAACTTCAAGACAAAGTTTCACAATACTGTCACCAGCGATCAGTAAGCACAGAAACCATTTAATATATTTGAAAATTTTGCTCTGAACTCGTAAACAATTTTTAGTAACTCATATTTTGACGATTTTGAAAAATTATTGAAAAAAAGTGGATTATTCTCGTATGTAACAGCGATTTCGTATATAACAGCTGGGATGCACCGATTGCACATTTTGTGTGTTCGGCTGGTCAAATGATGCAGTCTCTCGCCAGTGCCGCGTGTTCGTTTGAACTCGTTATGCTGCACAGGTGTATATTGGGTGTAGTGTACACAAAGTGACTTACAAATTAGTCAGGGCCAGTTGGTGTAATTGCATCGGTACCCGGTAATCGGTTCTACACTGTGCACTGGTGGCACACTGGTGCAGACTGGTGCAAACCAGCCGAAATCGCTATAAGATAGAATGATCTTCAAATATTAAAAAAACGAAAGATTTGTCTCTTAAGGATGTTTAATACGTACAATAGTAGCAAAAAGTTAAAGGACTGATTTTGACGAATATGTTCTTCTCATATAGTTTGAGTAATAAGGATTGTGCAGAATGTTATCATTTATTCAGAACTAGAGCGCAGAAATGCTTCTGTTGCTTTTTTCCTGAGAATTTTCGAATTCTGTGGCCAAATCTAACCAAAAAATTCAAATAAAAATCCTTGTAACTTTGGATTGCTTCAGTGAATCGACTCCGGCTTTTGTCTTAAGTCTTTCAACATATATAAGAACAATCTAGTAAAATTTTGTTAAATTCTCATTATTTAAAA